TGTCTATAGCCGGGTACCCATTCCCACCTGGGTGAAGTGAGGAAAATTCGTGTAAAGTGCCTTTCCCAAGGACACAACGTCGGGTCCCTGACGGGATTCGAACCCACGACCTTACGGTTGCGAGTCCGAAAGCCTAACCACTAGGCCACCGACGCCACTTGATGATGGTCCTTCGTAGGCTTTGCTTCCTTGGGTCGTTTCCTTTTCGAAGCTTCGGCCCTATCTCTGACGACGTTGGCTGATGTGGCTGCGGCACAGACCACAATCTTAAGTTATAATTCATGTTTGTTAGAAGTTATGTTCAAGTGCATATAAGGAGGGGGGTAAGTGAAATGCTATTTTTATTATTACATGATTTAAACGATAAATGATAGCATAGAAAGATTACATAGACTCTCGAAAGTTTCCCACAAACTTAAAAAAAAGTATGTGGTTGCCATGGAAATGGCGGCCACCTTGAAAATAAACACCTCTTTTCAGTCTTAGTTTTAACACTTCTCTTTCGAACCTGGGAAATCAACATTTCGACGTTTTCCCGCATACCTAGTGCTTCCATGCTGCTTCGTTCCTAGGAAGTAGATTTGGCGGGAAATGAGCCCCGCCCACTTCACGAAGAATTCGGGTGCCGAAGAAAAAAGTTTCGCTCCCTCCTGCAAAACAAAATCTTCGCATGCGAATTCCGGACTCGGCCATGCGAAATTCCGGTATATATGGATTTACACAATGACAAAAAGATTGGTGCGGGAAAAAAATAGTTCGCACGCGAAATTCGCACCCGAAGTTCGCTTCGGTTTTTCGGGCATATGGAATGTCAGTTAGAATGAGGCCCTCGCTCTAGGCCATTTACGGTACACCGCTGTTTTGCAGGGAGGTTGACTTACAAGCTTTTCTAAAGGAAAAACACTTTTACACAATTTTTGTCAACTTCATTTGTTGAGAACACGTTGATAAATCAGACCCAGACTAACAGACAGACAAATGGGCGGATAGACAGACAGAAGAAGAAGATGTTATATATTTTCACAACATCCTACAATGACGTTTTGCTGTGAGATATTGATGAAAACAAGTTAATAGTAATTCTATTTTCAGAGTGAAAGAATGTTGATGAAATACTACTTACAATCTTCTCTTTTGACTTCATTTGGTTAATGTGTGCGTGTGTGTGTGTGTGTGTGTGTGTGTGTGTGGGTGTGTATGTGTGTGTGTGTGTGTGTGCTATTCTATTACCTTTCAAGACTTAAAATAAATCTCATACAAAACAATTCCCCCAGATATTCGCTTGGGGAGAGAAAAGGAGAGGAAAGCTGTTTATCCGGGGTCTAGAGGTGAAGCTTCTGGCTTACAAAGGCTTTGACGTCTACAATCACGCAGTCCGTATCAGAGCTCATATAAATGCTGATGGGAAATATGAAGTGAGTTCAATCTTTTTAAAAATCTATTACATGAGTTATGGTGGTAGATCGTGATTTATCTTATGAACGAAATTGCCAAGATGTAATCATGAGTTTCAACGAGTGATTACAGCCTGCAACTTCACAAGTATGATTAAAAAGAATTTATTACGTGAATTATGGTGGTATATCATGATTTTCTACTTGTGATTGTAAATATCTTTTCAAATATCGCCTGAAAAGTGAGTAAATATTTACTGTAAATTAAAAATGCTTAACCTTAAAATTTAGTAGATGTTTAATTTTGAATAATGTTTTAATTCGCTTGACAAGTTAGTCAATGCTCATTGTAAATACAGATATATAGAGATTTTTCACCGGGCAGCGAGGGGGAGGGGCGTGTTCAACGTTAATTTCAAATGTTGTTTGGAGGGGG